TAATTAAAATACGGTGATACACATAACATGAGAAGTGTGAGTAAACTTTTTGACAATCTGAAAAACTTATTTAATTGAATAAATAAATATGTAGAAAATAAACTGTCATGATAAAAAAATATTTGTGACGTCACATTTATGAAACCCCCTCCCCCTTGTCACAAATTGTCACAAAATTATGCCTCCCCCCAACCCCAACCCCACCCCCCTAGTAGCGATATGTACTTTAAGGATGACCCCTTATCACAGAAAAGTCCATGAGGCCTTCATGGGGGCATTTACGTGCTACGTTCGCTACACCGCTGGTTAATAAAATGAAAAAGATATTTTAATTTTATTAACCAGTTAATAAAATTAAGAAATAAGTTAAAAAGAAATTTTTTTTTAATAAAAAAATACTATTTTATTGGCAATTCTTGCCAATATTAGAACAGCAAAATCCATCCAAGATCCGATTATCACAGGATTTGCAATGCATCCTTAATTATTGTTGAGCTGGAGTTTTATCTCCAAAAACTAACTTTTCATTAGTCATTTTTTCAACACAAAGGAAACTGTTACTTTGAAGCCCGTACGCACATTGTCAACAAAGAAACTTTGGTCAATAAGCTGTTTGAGCAACCCAGGATATCTAGGTTTTGTGAAATCTTTAAAACTGCTTTGAATGAAATGTTTGTTTAGGATTCCGCGCCATTTACTTTTCACCTCCTAAACACGCCTACATCAAGTGGCTGTAGTAAGTGAGATGTATGAGCCGGTAGGTTAAAAATAATAATGTTCTCCTCTTTTGCTAAGTGAATTAGTTCCAGTGTTACATGTGAGGCATGGCTATCTAGAAAAAGGATTTTAGATCCTTCAAGCTTGCAACAATGTGGGACAAATAGTTTTTCAAATCATCCAGCAAAAGCAGGTCCTTCCATCCAGCCAGATTGTGTGACACCATAGGTAGCACTGTTAGGCCCGTTCTGAGTTAGAAGCCATTTGGGCATCAATCTAAAATTTTAAATAATTAAATAGTAGTTTTAAAAATGCAGAGTTTTCTGGATTATTGGCACATCTGTTCATATTTTATTCCAAGGCCAAATACCTTTGGCCTTGGAATAAAATATGAACAGGCAAGAATGTTCCAAAAGCATCACAACAAACGAGTATTGTGACTGAAGCCCTTTCATTACTACTGCAAAGTTTCTTAGGCCCTTTTGAACCTTTCCAACACACAACCTTAAATTTGCCTTGATCATATTGAAGACCAGATTCATTGTTATTAAAAATGTGGAATGGCTTAGTTGCGAATCCATATATATTGTACATATCAGACACTTGTGCAAATCTTGATTTAAGAAATAAAATAAATAAATAAAGTAAGTTATTAAAATGCTATAAATTGAGCAGTTTATAAAAAAAGAATAATTGGTAAACATTACAATCAAATTGAAATTTACCTTTTAAAAATTGCACTTTTTTATTTATTAAATAACAATTAATTATGAAATATATTTACATATAAACATATAATTTTAATAAATACCATCGATCAATAGTGCCTGGCTGAGTTGACATTGTACAGTTTTACGGCATATTATTTAAAGTTCTGAGCGATAGCTCACCGTTAAAACACATTTAATTTGAATTAATCAAATAGTTGGTAACAACACACAGTATTTTAAGTCTAGTCAAACTAAAACCAATATCACTCATAAATATTAAAATTTTTACTAAAATTCCCTTGATGTTTTTGCTCAACTTAATTAATTTGCCATTTTTTTTAGTATGTTTGCTGTTACTTTTGTAAATGAAAGTTGATCTTTTAAAGCCAAATGTTATAGATGCTTTCCTTTTACTCATACCTTTATCCACAGCCTTCAAACCATGAGCCATCCGAGCTTTCTCTTGTAAACCATAGATGACATAGATGTATTAACTTGAAAAAAAACTTTTTCAAACATTAATATATATTTCAATGCATTGCAATATATATTAATGTTTTGTAATTACTTCATATTCAGTAATTTAAGTTTACTAGTATTTTTTGAAATCAAAATTTACCTTCAAATTGACCAGTAAATTTTGTTTTAAAACAGGGTAACTTTAAAATTATAAACAAATTCTTTATTCAAATAAAATAGCATGGTGAGTATCCATTATAAAAATGTCAAAACTTACTGATAAATTTACAGGTAAAGTTACCTGTAAACTTACGCAATTGCAATACAAGTTCATATTCACTAAGTCACATTTTTAACATACTAACATTTTACAACATTCGTGCTAATTGTTTCCTTTGTTGTTTTTCCATGAATGACCAAAGTTATAGTATTTCAAAATTTTTCAAAAGTAGTTAATTTTTAAAAATTAATAATTTTGTTTTTGTAAATATAATTAATTTTGTCATTCTTAATAATGTTAAGATTAAATATGATCATTTATTTTAATAGTTTGCTTATTTTAGATTTTAATAGTATGCATTTTTTCAAATTGTTGTTTTGCTATTTATGTGAGCAGGTTGCAAATAAATATTATTTTTTTTTTATAGATTCATATTTACAAAATAATTACAAATATTATTTGAGAAAAAAACCTTAGTAAAATTTGAGTTTTGCATGGTTTTTTTATATTTTTTCTTAAATGACCGAAGTTACATGGTGACCAAACTGAGGCGGTTTTACGGTATATGTATATGTATATATATATATATATATATATAATATATATATATATATATATATATATATATATATATATATATATATATATATATATATGTATATATATATATATATATATATATATATATATATATATATATATATATATATATATATATATATATATATATATAATATATGTATATATATGTAAATAATTTGCTTAGTTATAGCAGCAGTTGTGCTTTTTGTCATAAAGATTCTTGAATCAATTAACTGACAAGGCGTTGACGACTTTTATCGGTAGCTGATTTGAGATTAAATAGCACAATTCTATTTGAGAAGAAATTTTCTCTTTGAACACAGTTCTTTGTTTCTTGCATAGAAATACAATGAGAGTAACCTCTTACTCCACTCGCTGGTTTATCTAAACCAATTGAGCTTGCAATTGTGTTTAGGTAATATTGTTTGATAATGTTGAAATTATTTATCATTTTAAAATATTGAATTGCATCACTTCTACTATTTTAGAGTTACTATTTTAAGTTAGTTCTTCTGTTGTTAAACCAACTTTTGTAAGTCTCACTTGGCATATCATGTCCTTTAGTTTAGGAACCAGCTTTGTAGCTTGTTTTTATACCTTTTCAATTAGTTTGATTTCTAATTGGTGGTAAGGATTCCAAACTAAGGATGCATACTCTAGATAAAGACGGACAAAAAAACAATAAAGTATTAAAATTGTTTCTATATTCCTTGTTTTAAATGCCTCAGAGAACTAAGCACAAAATTTGTTCTGGTTGAAACAAGTTTTGAGTGATCTTTCCAATTCAGGTTATTTGTAATTTGTACACCACGATCTTGTTCAGAAACAGTTTTTTCTAGCAAGTAAAGAAATCTATTGTTGTTAAGTATTGTAGAATCATATATAGGAACTTTTGATTTCCTCACTGAGGATTTTCTGATTACCATCATTTTGCATTTTGCATAGTTCAGCTTTATTTTCCATTTTTTTGACCAATCAAAAATTTCATTCAAATCTTTTTGTAGCGTCATTTAATTGTTCAAGTTTTTGATAATTCCTATTAGTTTACAGTTGTCTGCAAGAGTGTGTCATTGCATCAGGAAGGTCATTGATAAATATAATAAAAAGCAGCGGGCCCAATACAGAGCCTTGAGGGACCACTTTTTACCTCTTTCCATTCTGACAAGTTTGAATCTATGACTACTCTCTGTCTTCGATCTGTCAAGAAAGTATTTGGCTAAGCAACCAAGTGATTTTTAAAATCATGCTCACTGAGTTTAAGGAGAAGAGATTCGTGATGAACAAGATCATAGGCTTTAGCAAAATCTAAGAATATAATATCTGCTACATTACCTTCATTTAGCTCTTGTGAGATAATGTCAATTGATTCTATTAAATTCATTGAGAATGATTTTTTGGGAACAAAGCCGTGCTGTGCCGAATTGAGAAGATTGTTATCGATAAGGTGTTTCATCATTACTGCAAGGTACAGATGTAAGGGAGATTGGTTGATAATTTGAAGCTATTTGTTTGTCTCCTTTTTTGAAAATTGGAGTGATGTTGGCTGATTTCCAAGAGATGGGAAGAGTGCCATTTTGAAGGGTATGAACAAAGATTGGAAGAAGAGCTTCAGAGAAGCTGGAATGATGCTGGTGTAGTGGTTGAGGGTGGATGTCATCACCACCAGGAGTCTTATGTGAGTCAAGATTTTGTAGCTGCGTATCAATTATCGAAATAGAGAGAGAAAATTGATTGAACAAGAAGATGTTAGATGTTCTCGATTTGCTGATATAGTTCCAAGTTAGAATTGAGTGAAGATGGTTTAGAAGAGCTCAGAGGTAGACAAATACTAGTTAAAAATATTCTTGTAGGATTTTCAGTGATGACAAGATGTAGAGTGTTGCTTGCTTTGTTGTTGTCAAAAGTTTGTCCATGCATGTGTTGTACTAGGATGTTCTTGTTCATAAGATCAATGAATTCACGACTAGCAAGTTTACCTCTGTGGATACACAGACCACCAAAATGAGTCCTTTTAATATCTGGATGATTGAAGTCCCTCATGATCAATAGACTTGTGTTTTTTTTAACTAGATTGACCAAGAGTAGTAGATGCGTTTGGAGGTCAATAAATACATCCAACAAGGATTCTTTCTTGTCTGATAGGTATTTGAACCCAAATCTGTTCGCAGTCCTGATTTTCAGTTATGTCTTTGATCTCGATGGCTTTAATATTATCTATGACATAAATAGCAACGCCTTTTCTGATTTCTCTGTTCTTTTCTGATTTTTTTGTGATTTTCTGATTTCTCTGTGGAATTTTTTTCTGATTCAACTTTTCTGATTTCTCTGTGGAATAATTTATAGTTTGGTATTAATGTATTCGAATCAATATTAAACCATGTTTCCGTGATTGAAATAATATGTGGAGAGTTTGTGGCTCTAGCAAGAAGTTTGAGTTCATCCATTTTGTTAACAACAGAAGTTTTGTGTAAAAACATTTTAAGCTGGAGAATGATATTGTTTTAATGGTTACAGTTAAATTGTACATTATTGCGGTTGAGTTTCATTAGAGTGATTTCTAAGTTGAGTGGCAAGATTTCACTTAGATCTTCATTATTATTTACTCTGATAATTTGACTGATTGTGTTTTTGTGGGTGGTGTTGTTTGGCTTTATAGCAGACTCTGCATGACCATTACTCAATAAGTTATTCATTAATTGCTAATAATTCTGAATGTTGGTTTACTGTCTCTTCTTGTTGTAGCTGCAGGAATGACTGATTAGTTTGTTGCAAGAAGTAGTGCATTTCAGCCTCAGATAGCCATTTTTTACAACCTAAAAAAAATTTCTTTCATTGTTTATTTTCACAACTTCTACCCATGCTTTCTTGGTGTTATATGTTAGCATTTAGTTCATTTCTTTTTTCTTTCTGCTTTTTTTCTGCTGCTTGCTGAAAACTAGTTTATTAGGGCTTACATAAACATCTATATTTTATATGTATTTATAACATGTATGTATTTTATATATGGACAATTCTGCGAGAAAGAGAAAAAAAAAAAAGTAAAAAAGTCATACTTTAGCAGGGTTTTAAAGTTGTATGGGTTGTATAAACATGTTTTGATGCTTATTTACAGTCCTGTCGAGTAGCACTAAAATTCGTATAATATATCCAAAATTAAGAATTTTGAAATGTTATAGTGCATTTTTTTAACATAATATACATGGTTGTTAATAATCATTTATACTTTTTTTCTTCATCATTGATTGCGTTGTTTTAGTTTTTTGTTTTTAAGCATTAGATTTTTTGTTGTGACCGCCATGGTCAAAATAAAAAAGCATAAAAATGCTTGTAAAACTTCAAATAAAAACTATGAAACTCAACATATAATAATATTAATATGTGTTAAACCAAATTATTTTTATTTTTACTATGCCGTTCGCTGCATTAAGTCTGATATTAAGTTGTTTTGTTCAAAAGTGGTAAAAAGTAAGCGTTACAACCGTCACTCTACATAGAGTTAATTTTTGAAAAGAGTTGAAGACTTTAATGCTGTAATTTTTACATACTGAATTGTATGATAGTATTTCACATTTCTGAAAAGTTTTAAGCCACTGCCATTTTCAGTTCATTTTTAATAGCTTAAAGAGAGTCATATGTTAAGACTGCCACTCTTGCAGAATTACCCACATATTATATATATATATATATATATATATATATATATATATATATATATATATATATATATATATATATATATATATATATATATATATATATATATATATATATATATACATACATACATATACACACACACATATACATAAATTAAGTTTGCAATCTTCGATAATTTACTTTCAGATATTAACTACTGCCATCCTGATCCATGCATGAATGGAGGCAAATGTCAAGTGACACGGTTTGGAACTCATTTCCAATGTGATTGCTATAAAGAGCATTTAGGAGCACGCTGTGAAAGTATTTATGTTTTTGATTGTTTACTTATAAGCTATCTTTTAAAAGTTGTTTTTGGTTTATTTGAAATATAAAAAAGAATTGTATTTTTATGAAAAAGACACAAAAATGTTTATTTCCTCTATTACAGTAAATATAAATATAAAATAAATCAAATTTAAATGTTTCTAATGATCAAAAATAAAATTTTATTCAATTAAGTAGTTTAACTGTCACAGGGCTAAAAGCTATAGGGCTATTCCAAGTTGTACAAAAAGTTTAATATAAATTTCAAATCCTATAAAATAAAAAACTAAATGTATCATTCAAAAGTTAAAGGTTTGTAATTTCTAAAAACATGTAGCATTTAGAGCTGGTTTTCGAAGAATTTTAGGATTTGATGCTTAAACTTTAAACAAAATTTTTTAGACTTCAAATTTAAATAATTTTTTAGGTAAATAATTTTAAAACTTTTTCTTTTGAAACTTTTAAAAATTTATTATAATAATTAAATAGTCTTTCATTGAGAAATTTCTATTTGGTCTTCTTTAAGTTTGTCACGCTGTGACACTAAAAGTAACATTTTTCATTCTAGCGTAAGAATATTTATTTATTTTAAATAAATATTTATAAATTACTTGTAACTAAAATAGGGTAATAAATATCAATAGATATCCAAATTTAAATATTTTTAGTTTTTGTGTTATGTGTCTTAAGTTTATGTCACATTGTGATGACACGGCATTTTTTTAAATTAAATTTTTTAAAGACTAATTTTTATAAAAATGTTACGCAAAAACATGTTGGTTTAACATTTGTAGTATATTTATTGTTTTTTATTTGTGGATATGTTTTGAAACCTCCTTTAATATAACTAACATTGTTTTTTTTTTATTAAACTTGTAGGTGTACCTGCAAATATGTAGATATATTTTACTAACACCTTTGTTATTTAGTTTTTTTTAAATTTTGTTGCTATTGCTGAAGTTATTCTGAATGTTTTTTGTTTATACAATTCTTATAAAAAGTAAACTTTCACAAACAAATTGTTTATTTCTTTGTTGAAAGTAATGAAAAAGCCTCTGACACATGCTGAACGCCAGAGAAAGTATAGAGAAAGACAAATGTAAAAATTTGGCCCAGATTTTATAAAGGAAAAGGACTCGATACGGAAAAAGGAAAAAACTAAATTCTAATGTTGAATTGACACGTTAAAGTACAAGTTAAGAAAAAAAAAAGAGTAGAATTTCTTCATCTAAAATAACATCTAACATCTCTCCTGCTTACAATTCATCTTGTACACTTGGTAAAGCTGTTAAAAAAGAAATACGTGCTCTTCCAACTTCTCCTCTTAAAAACGCAACTGTTGTTAAACAACTTGCAAATCAGTTACCAGATATGCAACCAACACATGGACCTCATGCTCTTAATAATGAAACAAAGCTATACGTCATTAGTTTTTTTGAACAAGATAGTATATCCTGTCAGGCACCTGGAGTAGAAGATAGGATTGTTTTTAGAAGTAATAAAGAAAAAAAGAAAATGCAAAAAAGGTATTTAACAATAAATATAAGTGAAGCTTATCAAATATTCAAAAACGAACACACTGATTTTTCAATCAGTAAATCCAAGTTAGCTAGTTTGAGACCAGGCCATATACTTTTATTAAGCTTAATGTGTAGAAATGTTTATGTCAAAAACATGAAAAAATTATCTTGTCACTCAAAACATTATATTTCATTGATTTAAAAATTCCCCTTTATTTGCATGCTTTACCAAATACTTTAGTGAGTGACAAAAAAAATAATAATTGTTGGAATAATCTTTATGAAGCTTGTAAGGATGGAAAATTATTTTTCAAAACATATCAATTAGATAAAAAAACCCACCATAAAGAAATTATTTGGTAACCTTTAGGAGAAAGTTACGCAACTTAATGGAACTAAGTACCTCGAAAAAGCAATAAAAAAAGACAAAGCCATAATTTTGTATAACAATGTTTGCAAGAGTTATGAAAACAAAAAAAAAGTTTTATAAAGCAATCTTGATTCAGTTTTGTTACAAGTTGACTTTGCAGAAAACTTCTCAACTTTCTGGCAGGATGAAGTTCAGTCAGCGCATTGGAACAAAAAATTAGTAACATTATTTATTGCTGTTAGCTGGCACTTCTGATGATTTGAACCATTCAAGTAGTTCATTTATTTTATTGATTTGTTAATAACTAACCTTATTAGAAAGGATGTAAAATACTTGCAAGTTTGGTCTGATGGCCCTAGCGATTAATTTAAAAATTGTTACATAGTAGCTTCAATTACATGGCTTGAAAGCAAGCACAAAATTAAAATTTGCTGAAATTACTTTGCAACCTCTAATGGTAAAAGACCATGCAATGGTATAGGAACAACTATAAAAAGATTAGCAACACAAAAAATTGTTCAAAGAGAAGCTCTGATTAATGACGTAACAGCATTTTATAAAGTCATCAGAGATGAAAGTCAAGTAAACGTTTTCATGGTTGCTGCTGAAAAAAATTAAAACTGCTTTTGATGGCACAGAACTTGGAAACATCATTAATAATGCTTTTAAAACGCCTGGAATATTTAGTGCCCATTGCTTAAAACAGTTTAATAAAAAAATGGAAATGAAACCTTATTCAAGTGCATCATACTTAGTTAATTAGATAAAATTTAATAAAAAAACGTAGTTGAATTTTACAAGACTTTTTTTGAAATTATTGTAAATAAACTGTTTTGTTAAACATTATACTTATATTGTTATACCGATCTTATAAAAATCCTAATAAATTGGTTTCTTTTGTTTCAACTGTCTTTTTGATGATGTTATTGTTTTAATATTTAAAGATTTTGTACTGGTCACATCATGACATTGATATATTTATGTGGTGTCTCTATTTAAATTTATAAAACATTTAAAAAATGATATGAAACAATTATAACACCTTTTAAGTATCCAAGACATAACAAAAAATATTTCAAAATATCCACAAGAGCTGAACTACTGTCATTTCTTCTAATGATGGAAAATGTTAGGTAATTTTTGTCACATCGTGACGCAACCTTTAATGCGTATATCCAAAAGTCTATAAAATATTAAAACTAAATAATTTTGTTTTTAGAAACTGTAATGTATATGAAAATTTTTTAGTTTCTTTAATTTTTAAATTTTTAATTTTAAATTGTCTAAAATCTAATGTTTTTTCCCAAAAAAAGTCAAATGTCACGCATTGACAATGTAGAATAGCCCCCCATCATCTTTATTATCTTAAATTATTTATGATCTATCTAGTGTTGTTGGTTGCCATATTAGTTCTTGATGTTTTGCAAGTGAAATTTTTATGCTTTTAGCAGAAATTTCAAATGTTGAATTACTTGAATTCTAAATCAAATTTTTGATTATAAAATTTCAAGTATTTACAAAGACAAAAAAATAGCACCAAAACAATTTTGCAACAAAAAAATTTATCTGCAGCTGTGGTGCAGTTAGACTTCAGATTCATTAGACCTCTTTATTAAATCATTAAGTATTCTTATCTTTGCCATCCTATAAAATTACGTCAACATTTGATTATCTTCCCTCCCTCCTCCTCCCCCCTCCCCCCCCCCCCCCCAAAAAAAAAAATCAAATTAAAATGTTAAACTTATTAACATATTTCCAGTTTAACTACAAAGAATTCTGAGCAAAAACAATGTTGAAGGGTACACAAAAATGTAAAACACCTTACACATTTAAATTATTTTTTCAAATTAATAAAATTCTCCTCACTTTAACATACACCTAATTTATATTGAAAGCCAATTATTATTAATAGAGTCTAGAATAACAATAAATGCATTTAACAAATTGTATAAACCAGGGGTTGGCAACCTTTTGGGAAGAAAGAGCCAAAAGTTACAATATACAAAGTTTTTCAGTTATAAAAAAGCTGCCAGCATCTTTATTTTAATGTTATATTAATATTTGTGCATGTCAAGATGTTAATATATCGATAGCCACAGGTTGTATTACCTAGGTATAAATGTTTAAATAATATAATGTTGACTATGTACTAATATGAATCTTTTTTGTTTGCACAGCAGGGTGAGATAACAACAACATTGAAAAAATAATAGCGTTATGAGTAAACATCTTGTGTTTATTTAGTTCTGCATGGTCTTTTTAAAGCGCAACAAGGCTTTTAAAAAGTAGGAATATAAATAGCTTTAGTCGTCCATAGATAATGCCACACAGTTTCGGACAGTTTTTTTACCTTTTCTTTACCCGTCCCTCCCCCTCATAATGCATAGGTTACACTTTATTGACCCCCCCCCCCCTAATATTATGCAATAATTTTTAACCCCCCCCCCCCCTCCCTTCCCTTCCCGCTTCCTAAATAATGTCTATAATTTTCTGAGCTTTTTTGAGTTAATTAATTTGTACATTTCAGTCTGTTTAATGTTTTTTTTTCACCCCAATAGTTCCGTGTAAAATTGTATAAATTAACATTGCTATCCTAAACATGATATCAATTTTAAAAACCTATTCTTTTAATATATAATGCATGCAAAATATTATATATAATATATAATATATAATAATAGATTATAATATATTATACCTGCAAAAATGTTATTTTATAAGTATAATTTTCTTTCAACCTGCAACGTTAGCGTGGCCGAGTGGATTCTGTTTCAGGCTGGCAAATCAAAGGTTCCAGGTTGGCCTCTCAATATTGAAATTTTTTTTTTATAGTTAGTGCACAAAGATTTTTTTTTTGTAGCTGCACACTTTTGTGCACTAACTAAAGTTCTTACCATATAAAGTCAAAGGGAAGAACATGCACTGCACATAGACTGTTGCAGCTGTAATAGTCTGTTAACAGGCTATAACTACTCTGTTAACGAAGTATACTCATCGACTGAGTAAGATTTAGGCGTGGTTGATTTTACAATCAACATGTAGATACATCAACTGAGGGTTTTGTCAGATACTTATTTAATTAAAAGTCTTCTCTAGATTTAAAACTAAAAAAAAAAAAAATGCGTCACAAAATCAAGACTCCCCTACCCCTCGTAACAAATTTTCCTCCCCTCCCCCCTCTCCTTTCCATAAAGCATGACATAATTTAAAGATGATCTCTTATTAAAGTACTGAAGGTTAAGCAAGTATGTAACACGAGAATGCAAATGCTGTCTAATTTTCCTTTTTTTAAATGATTAAATTTATAAAAATAAATAACAATTTAAAAAAAAGTAAAGTGTTGATGTTGAATTTTCTTGACCTTTTCCCTCCTCCTTATCAATGATTGTCAGAAAAGTTCAGACCCCGCTCACCCCTTTTGAAAATTTGCAAAAGATCATATTAGTTGGTCAGTTATTGACTGATCTAAAGTCCTTTTTTCTGATATATCTAAATAGCATTATCTTTGATATCTCTATAGTATAAACTTTGACATAACATATTTTAAATAGCATAAACAAAAGTCTTTTTTTCCGATATATCTAAATGGCATAAACTTTGATTAATATGAATCAAAGTTTCTGCTATTTAGTAGTGATGGAGTTAGGCATGTTAGGTGCCCAGTAGGAGACAGATTTCATCCAAAAAATGTTACCCACTTTTAGACATGGAGTAAGAAATGTTATGGTTTGGGGATGTTTTAATCGTGAAAGGGTGGGTCCCATTTATCACATAGCAGGTATTATGGATAAGAAAGTTTATTTAGACAACATAAAGAATGTTACTCTGCCACATGCAAAGCATTAAATGACTTGCAAATGGTTCTTACAACAAGATAGGTTCAATTCCTTTACAGATTTGGACCAAAGCATTGTAAAGATTCCTTTACAATGCTTTGAACCAAGAGTTCAAAGCATTGTGCCAGATCTGTAAAGGAATATTTTAAATCACAAAAATTTAAAGTTCTTGAATGGTCTTCACAGAACCCTATATATATATATATATATATATATATATATATATATATATATATATATATATATATATATATATATATATATATATATATATATATATATATATATATATATATATATATATATATATATATATATAATATATATATATATATATATATATATATATATATATATATATATATATATATATATATATATATATATATATATATATATATATATATATATATATATACTAGTAAGTGAGTTCCTAATTGCCCATGTTGCCCAAACAAACTAGATACATAAATGCTTTATGAGCATAAAGGGATAGATAAAGTTATAGGATGCAACTTTGAATAATGAGTCATGTAAAATTGAAGATTGATGGAGTATGGAATTAGGAGTAAGAAAATGGTGAGCATGATAAAGAGAGTTCTATTTTATCAAAGTTTGCATCTAAAAAATTTGAAGATGCAAAAATTGTAATTTTAATTTTTTCTAAATTAAAGTTTGCATCTGTTAAAGGATTAAATTAAATTGATCTTTTTAACATTGTAACTTTTTGCTGCAGCTTTGACTTTGTTGAATTTTAAATGTTGTATATAATAATTTTTGTTCAGATAAGGATAATTTCTAATTGAAAATTCAATCACTTTTGCCTAAGATACAAGACTTCAAAAAAAAGAAGACGTTTTTTTTTTCATTGATGTCTATATTCGTCATTCACATACTTCAACAGTTATAACGGTCATTCATTGTTAAGGGGTTTCTATTGATTTTATTGTTTAATTGATTCTAATATTTTTTAAAAATTTGAAATAATTAGTTTTTTTGTTAATTTGTTGAAGTCAACTTCAACAGTTATAACTGTCGTTCATTGTTAAGGGGTTAATTCTAATATTATTAGGGATAATAATAAATATTAAATAATAAAAATTGATTCTAATACTTTTTAAAAATTGATTCTAATATTTTTTTTAAATTTGAAATAATTAGTTTTTTTTTCGACAAAATAATTTAAGCCTCAAATTTATGACATGAGAGTACTTTTTGTAAGTTAAGTGTTATTATCTCCAGAAATTCTATTTTTTCTGTGCAATAATTTATATATTTTGGAATTTTTTAAGAATATTTGCCTAATTGTCTATTTGCTTCAGTATTCATTTTACAATTGCCCATTAGGATTCAATGATCCTATGGTCAGGGTAGTTAGGTTAATTAACATCATTTGAAACAGCGTTGACTAAATTTTTTTGTACCGTTACTCTTTTTTTATAATGGGTTGATGATGCCAGATCTGGCCAGATCAAAGTTGGCTGTAGGTGCTTTTTAATTAGAGTTTAATTTAATTAGTGTAAAATGTTTTATCCCATATAAATCTGATGTCAATGAGTCATGCCGAAACATCAAAAGTTAAACCAATGGTTTAGATCTTCTCTGGTTTATTTAAGTTTAGCTCAGAATTCCTTTGGTCAACTTATTAATTGAAAATATGAGAATTGTTTTGAATTTATTAGTAATATGGAATCTTATCTTCTTTTTATAACTTTAAGTAGTTTTCTTTTTATAACTCTAAGTAATGATCTTCTTTTTATAACTTTAAGTAATGATTTTCTTTTTATAACTCTAAGTAATTATCTTCTTTTTATAACCCTAAGTAATGATCTACTTTTTATAACTCTAAGTAATTATCTTTTTTTTAAATGCTTACTAAAGCATGTAAATTCAATCGAATAATAAGAAAGTTATGACATAACCATAAAAATACAATATCACTGCAGTAATTAATAATAAATTAAAAAATGGAAGTTTAATGCTTATGTTTTAAATATTTTTGGATAATAAATCTCATACAAAAACAAAAATGTGTCTTAAAAAGCTCAAAATATAAACTTTCAAAAGACTATTTTTTGTGATCTTTTACAACCTTCATTTTTACAATAAATTACTACTACTGTTTTACTACTGTTTTTTACCATAAATATTCTTAAATACCTTAAAAATATATATAATTTTGAAGTCAAAAAAAGAGTCATTAAATGATTAAACATCTTTTAATCTTTTAGTTTTAATGTTGGAAATTTGACTAAAACTTCATATTTTTGTGCCAAAAAACTAAAAACTTAATGCTTCATCTTGTGTATCTTTTCTTTTGAAAAGACATTTTATCAAAAAAAGTAAAAGGACAGTAAAAAAAAGTAAAAGGACAGTAAAACAAAATTTATAAAAGTCTGTTTTATTGTATAAAATGGTTCTGATTGTTGTGATGTTTTTGTAATAGCAAAAAAACAATGTCTCTATCTAAATACTACTCCATAAAAAGTTTATGCATATAAACATTTTTTAGGGACTAATCCTTGTTTTCCAAATCCTTGCCGGAACAATGGAGAGTGCACACATAATGGTGTCAATGCAACTTGTATTTGTACAAATGGATTCAAAGGTTCCAGATGTGAAGGTATTGAGTTTCGTTGTTGCTATCTTATCATTTTATTATCATTTTCTCATTCTATTATCATTACAGCCCTCAAAAGTGATTGCAAATGACGTCTAAAACTGCTCTAATGTTAATCATTAAAAGCCAATGAGCATTTAAATGTATTTTATAGGTCAATCAGAATTAGAATGTATAGAAATAGTTAGAAATAATAGAAAGTTTGTATTTTAATTGGGAAAACTCTAAATAGGATAGTAAAAAATAGCAGGTAAATATAAGGATTAAATAAGTGGGTGAAAAATAAGTTTAATAAATTGTATTAATCTTTTTTTTATAATTTCTTTATAATAACGCTTGATCTTATATTACTCAAGCTGTCACAAATTTTAACCAAGCTGGAATAAAAATAGTTTTACATTGTCATACTGACAGACTCAATTATTCTACTTAATTAAAAAAATCTTGATTGACATTGAAAGTTGAAAAAAAAAACTTTACTAAGATACTTCAAACCCAAATAATAAGACTTTAGAAGACGTTAGTAATAAGATGTTAGATAACTGGCTGTTAAGGATGCAACATTGTGTAGATTATAATGAATATTATTTTGAACATTTAATAAAATTAAATTTAAAAAAATTCAATTTATTTAAATTGATTGACATTGAAAGTTAAAAAAAAAATTAAGATTGAGACTGGCGTATTAAGATTGAGACTGGCGTTCAAGTTCAAAAGAATTTATTTAAATTCTTTTGACTTGAGCCTAAATAAAAGCAATAAACATTTGACAGCCATTTTGTATCTGGCTACAGTTTCAGTTTATATAAGATTTTATTTATTTTTTTAAGATGTTTTAATAATTATTTGTATTATATTTTAACAATTTATTTTATTATATTTTAACAATATATTTTAATATTTTAACAAGCAAGGTAAAAGTTAGTAACTTTTACCTTGCTTTGTTAAATGCAAAGTTTTTTGAAAAGTAATTTGTTTCCAATATTTAAAAACTTAAAATACTTTGAAAAAATTTGTTGCAACCTACTGCACCATTTAATCCAAATAGATAAGTTGATAAATCTGTTTCAATTATTCACAGTTGATGAAGATTTTTCAATCTTTTATATATGGTTTTAATATTGAAAGTTTTAATGAAAGCTGTAACTTGCAGTAGAATAAAGCTTACTTACAGTAAAGAGGCATACAACATACCAAAGGCAACTCTTCACAAGTGTGTGTGCACAACAAAGTCCAATTAAGGGGTACTGGTGTAGTGGTAGAGCGCTCGCTTCATAAACGAGTGGTTCCGAGTTTGATTCCCACCACGTCCCTGGTAGTACCGCGCTAAACTCGTTTCTCCGCGCAGCAGCCTTCTTCGTTAAGGTTCGTGTTTCGAAGTTATAGAGTTGAGAGAGGGTTATAGCCACAATATAAGTAGCCTCTTCGTCTGTAGTGGCCTTCTCGTCCTTGAGGAGGTGAATTAAAATAAAAAAAATTAAAAAAAAAAATCACATCACAATGTCCAATTACATGGTAGAGGTACAGCTACTGTGCTAAGTACAGCAATTAAATTTGTTTTTGTTTCAGTAATTATCAGTTTAGCCAATTGGGGGGATTCAGCAAATTGTATGCAGATGTTATCAATAGATAAGGGTTATTTGGTATCTATAAATAAAAGTCATTTGTTTCCACCAAATGGTATACCAGGATGAGAATAGTATAAGGTTTCATGAAAGGATGGAGTCATAAATTGAGCGTCAAAGTAGCAGGCAATACTTCATCTCTCAGAGCTTCTTCTTGTCTCAACAACTAAAAAACAAGTTGTTTTAATACACTTCAAAAACAATTTCTTGAAGCAAATATCAACAATAATACTGCAATAACATGCAATTTGTGGAATTATGAAGAAATTGGATTTTCTTTAAAATTCCACAAGGTAATCAACATGATTTGCAGGCTTAGTGCTAAACACTCTTTACAATTGGTTGTTAACAACAAAATAATTAATTACACAGTAATTGTCAATGCTACCGGTAATATTCTGCCACCATTTGTAATTTACAAATCAACATCACATCTTTACAAATAACGGTGTGTAGGGGACCAACAAACACTGTATTTACAACATCCAAGTCAGGTTGGATGGAAGTGAAACAATTATTCGATGGCTCACTAAAGTATTCATACCAACAATCAAATTAAATTGAAAAGTTTAATCAATTAATCAATTATCAAATAATTTTTTTAATTGCAGGTACTCACACTTTAGTCTTGGACAGACATGTCCCACACATTACTTATAATGTTGCATGCGTTTACATTGACAATAACATCAGGCTGATATGTTTACCGGATCATTTGTCCCACATACTTTAACCACATTAAATGCTGGATTTCAAAACACTGATTTGTTTCCATTCAATATTAGCAGATTTGATCAATCAAAATTACACATTGTCCTATCATTTTAAGTACCATCTCAGCCTATTTATTATCCTTATCTGAGCCTGCTTCATCATCCTCAATTGAGTCTGCTTCACCATGTTGACACACAAAAAAACCCAAAAAAGTCAAAGTTTTGAGAGTTGAAGGCCAGTGTCTGAGTACATCTGAGGTGCTCAAGAAATTAAAGCAAGATGAGGCAAAAAAATCAAAGCAATTAAAGAAACACAAGATTCACTTTAGTAAAGCTTCAGATGAAACTCAGCAAGTGCAACATTCAAAAACACAAGACAAAAACATCAAGAAGTGCAAAAAGTGTTGCAGAATTTGGAAAGAAACATTGTCAAATTAAAACAACATTTGGTACCAATGTGAAGCTTTTAATTGCAAGTCTCAGATTTGTCAATCATATTTACTCAATAAAATACAAAATTGATGAAGTTTTTTTTTTGCATGAAAAAATTCCACAGACCTGCTTTTGACCATGAAACAACTTGAATTTATTTAAACTAATAAATATTTTTTTTCGTATGGATCATTCTCCAAAAAAGTAGCAATATACTGTCCCACTAATTTTTTTTTCAAGTTAATACTATTTATACTTTAAACCAGTGCAAATAACAAATATATGGCTAATACAATGTTAAACTGATGAAAACCAATCCAAAATAGCATTTTCAGTGAATAAATAATTTTCCACAGACTATGACAAGTCATGTCCGTGGAATGTCACCACCCAGACTTTTATTTTAATATATAATAAATAATCAAGAATACATTAAAATTAGAGTTGACATAATATTTTCCTTAAAACATATTTTTAAAGTAACTTTTATGCAATTGAAGCACTTGTCACCACCTTAAATTTCATGTCTGTGGATAGAGTTATTAATTCCAAAAAAAAGCTGTAGGAGGCAGCAGTAGTTCTCTGTTTTGCTGTTCTAGCTAAACTACCAGACATTTTTATTAATGAGTAATAGTGGGGGGGGGGGGGGGCGGGGAATTTTAGGTGTAGTTGTTTAGTACTGATAAGTGTTAAAATTTTATAAGTTGAATTTGTTAGTCTTAGTGTGTCACATCTGTGGCAAACATACCCAGGGTAAATAATTTTACTTTTTTATAAGCAATACTTTTGTTTAATAGCAATTACCTAGGCATATTTACTCCAAGGGGAACAGAGTCCTAACCTCAAAACATAGCACTCCTTTTATGGTTTTTCCTTCAATTTGTCACCTCTGTGGATGTCATGTCTGTGGAATACAGAAAGCAACAGATGTGACACACACGGAACAGATGTGACAACAAATGACAATTTTATCTGTACCTGAATTTTTTAATGCCTATTTTTAGCATTTTTAACATTTAAAAACTTTGCTCTTATAGCTAATTAATTATTATTGAAAAGATAAATGTTTTTATCCAGATAGTTATAATTTTTTCTTTACTTACAGTTAACAAAAATGGGAAAGATAGAAAAAACTAGAGAATTGAAAAAGTTAAGTATGCGGGAATCGAGGAAGAAGATGAAAGCTGAAAACCCTGACAAATATGAAGAACAAAAATGGAAAGATAGAGAAAGAAAAAAAACAACATGAAAGAAAATTCATGAACTTTCAGAAAGGGATAAAAGATCAGTAAGAAAAGGTTGGAAAGAAAGGACCAAGAGAAGTCGGGAAATGAAAAAGAAGAGACAGAAACTTATTAAAAGTTTGTCTACACCACCTGAAAGCCCAACTGTAAATATTCCTATCGAAAATGAAATAGGCATAAGTTTACTTCCTGGTATCAGTCAGGAATCTAATTCCAGAAAAAGAAGCGGGCTAAAAGTTTGTAGAAAATATAGAGATGGGTTGAAGAAAAAAATCTAAAAATTAGAAGAAAAAACAATTTGTTAAAGCAAAGAGGTGATAAATACAAATAAAAATTCTACAGACTGCGATATGCAAAAGATAATACTCCTCAAAAGGAGGTTAAAAAAATGACCATTGGTACGAAATGTTCGAAGGAAGTAAAGAAAAGTTTGCTTTTTAGCGAAGTGCTAAAGACACAAATACAATCAAATTTTTCTATTGAGAGTTGTATAGCCAAAAAAAAGGATTTTGCCAGGGTATTAAGCTGAAAGATAATAAAGCAGTACAGACTTCAAAGAAACCTCAACAATCTTACTTCAAGATATATCTTACCACACAACTTAAATCAGCCCTCAAATGTACTGAAAAAGCAACAACTTGAAATGGAAGTTAGGAACTTTTTAGAAAAAGATAGTTCCAGTAGGCTTACTGCTGGAAAAAAATTGAGTCTTAAGATGTTGGCATATAAATATCCTACTGACTTGCTAAAAAGTATAACGTGATGGCGAGCTGAGAGAATCATGACTGGAAAGGAAATGCGAAGTATGCATTTTAAACAAAAAAATAATTTGTAAAGAATTTGAGAATGATATGAATGAAAAAGTAACATTTCCACAATGGTCTAAAAAAAGTGTTGAACTTGTGATAAAAGATAAAATAAAGACATGTTTTAAAACTGTAAAAGAAGAGTTAACATTAACTAAAAAAGAGCTGTTTTTGCATTTTATT